CCAGCCTGGGCGTCTCGGGAAGCAGCATGGCGACCCGGCGCCGCCGCGCCACCCGGCTCACGCCCCACTTTCAAATCAAAATGGCTCAAGCCCCGGGCCTTGGGCGGGAGCCCCTTCCTCCCGCGTCCTGTTCGCAGGGCTCGTCCCCAGGAAGAGCGGGAAGCCCCGAGGTGCGGGGACACCCCTCCTGCCAAGGCCTGAGGACGGAGAGCATGGGGCGTGGGGGTGTTCCAGCAAGGGGGGGGGGGCTTCGGCGGAGGGGGGTGGGGGGGCCGCGGGGAAACCACGCCTAGACCCGGACCCCGGGGCCCGTGAGACCCACCCCCACCCCACCAGTTGCCAACGGGGGCTCCCGCCCCGTCGGTGGGGGGGGGGGGTCAGGAGCCCCGAGCGTCCCGGGCTGGGGGAAGGGGGAAGGAAATCCCGACTATTTCTGCGTGGGGAGGGGGCGTCGAGGGCGGTGGGTGGACGCCGGGGACCGAGGCCGAGCCCCGCGGGCCCGGGAAGAGTTGGCGGGCCAGGGAAGAGGAGCTGCAGGTCTCCGTTGTTCGGGATTTCGTTGTGTGTGTGTGTGCGTGCGTGCGCGCGTGTGTTTTTTCCGGGGAGGTGGCCGCGCTCTTACCCGAGAAAGTTTCGATGGCCTTCATCGCCCAGTGCTCGTCGGGGCAGTCCACGAAGGCGTAGCCGGATTTGACCAAGAACTGGCCGCTGTAGGAGATCTTGTGCTCCGCGAATACTTTCTCCAAGTCTGCGGGGGTCACGCTCTCGTTGAGGTTGCCGATGTAAAGCTTGTTCATGGTGGCGGTGGCGGGGCAGGACGCGGTCCCGGGCAAGGCCGAACGGGCGAGCGCGGGCGGAGAGCCTCCTAGGCCGAGCGGCGTGGAGGCGGGCGGCAGGAGCTGCAAACTTTCTCCGCACCCCACCCCTGAAGTTGTCCGGAGCTCCGGGCGGGTGGGCGGCCTGAGGGCACACGGAGGTCACGGGAGAGTTCGGGTTAGCCCGGGAGAAGTGCCTGCGGAGCACAGGGAGGCGGGCGACGCGGCGCGGCTCCTTCCCTTCGGTCCGAAACCCCTGCGAGCGGGCTGGTGTGTCACGTTTCTCCGCGGCCGCCCTGGCGCCGCCTCTAAATAAAATCGACTTGAAAAAAAAAAAAAAAAAATGGAGCGGAAAAAAAAAAAAAAAAGGCGAAGCCACGTGGTGACAGCCCCCACCCACCCTGCAGGGAGAGACCCCCGACGCCACCGGGCCCCTTGGCCCCTCCAACCTGGACCAGCCCAACAGCCTCTTGTCTTGGGGGGCACTCAGCGCACCCCAGGGGTAAAGCGGGAAGGTGGAGACGGAGTCCCCGAAGCTCTCCTCGCCCTCTCCCCCTTTGCAAGAACCTGGCCCCTAAGGCGGCGCCCCGCCCCCACCCATCTTGCCACTGTGACCTGCACTGGGGGGGGGGGCGGAGGGCGGTGGCGACCCAAATCTCCCCAATCCTTAGGGGTAAAATGTACGGTCATTTTTTTTTTTTTTTAATTCGTTTCGTGGAGACTGGGCTGCCCACCCCACCCCGGTAAACTGCTAGCAACTGACAGGCGGGGGACGGCCGAGACAGACAAAGAGAAGCCGAGGACTCTGGGGTCTTCGGGAGGGGGTCGCAAGAGCCGGTTATTGAAAAGGAAAGACGCTTTTCCTCTACATTTCTAAGTAGGGGGTCACTGTCTCCCCCGCCACACCCCCACGGGACTTCCCTGGCCTCCCGGGTCCAGATCCGGGGGGACCCTGATTGCGCGGGACCAGGAAGCTGAGAACACGGGGGGGACAGCGCCTGGGAACGAGGGACCCGCAGCAAATCGTGTTTCGGGATTCCCGCTGGAGGAAAGCTGGCTCGCACCCAGTCCAGCTGCTGGATGACAACACTCGAGCGTTCTTGGGGTGGGGTGGGGGGGAAGCCCGCGACCCGGCTCGAGATCACCCCCGAAGGACCAGCAGGGTGGGAGAGAACGATGAGGGGTGGTCGCTTCACCCCGAGCCAGCGAACCAAAGGGGGTTGGTTTCAGAAGGGAGTGACCGGGTGGAGACCCGAGAGTCCCCTCGCCCTCCCCACGCAAGGAGCGGACAGGTGGCGCCGCCTGCGCCCGCTCCACCCGAGATGCCAAGAGCAGCTGTCCACGCGCCGGGTTTGGGTCTCGGAACTTAGTTTGGGGTGCTAGATTTTGGAAGGCCGCCTTGGAGTTGGGGAGGGGGGGGGGACGACGACGACGAGGCCCCGCCCACGTCCCCAGGTCAGCCCGAGCGGGGAGGGGGTAATTTCCGCTCGGCGCTCGAGGAAGCGGGAGGCGGGGGAGGGGGCTGCGGCCCTCCTTCTCCCCCCCCCCTTCTTGGGGAGGGGGAAGTGGATCCGCCCAGGTCCCTTCCCTCGGCCCGGACCGACGCGTTCCGGATCCTCCGGCTCCCGGAGCCGGAGGGAAAGACGGGACTGGGCAGGGGGCGACACGTGGGCGGTCGCACCCCGTCTGCGCGGTGGGGGAGGGGCCGCGCGCTGGAGTCCCGGACACGCAGCGGAGCGCGGGATGCATCGCACGCGCAATCCCGGGATGCCCGGCTCGACGCGGGGACACCGACTTTCCAGCAGCGGAGGCTTGGGGCTGCGCCAGGGGGTGTCGGAGAGCGCAGCCCGGGGACCCGGGAGAAGCCCCCCTGCCCGGCCACACCGTGGAGAAGGGGGCCGACGACACCCGCCCCCCCCCACCCCACCCCCGAAAGAGGGATGTTCCCTGAGCCGCGCGAGTCTGCGGGAGGGAGGAGGGTTGTCTGGGGCACGCGTGCTGCCAGGGCAGGTGAAGACGGGAGTCACTCTCCCCTTCCCCCGTCCCGACCCCATTGTCTCAGTCGCCTGCGGCCCGGGCCGGCTCCGTAACACGTGTTGACTGCACCGATATGAATGGCTTGATTTTTTTTTTTTTTTTATTGTTATTTTTTCGTTTGCAGAGTCCTTAAGCCAACTCCGACTTCGGCTCACCGCCCTTCGGCCGGATGATTTCCTACCGTTTGCAAAGTCGGGAGTTATAACACAACACCCAACACCTTTGTCCCCTCCTCGTTTTCCCGGCGCGCCGGGAAGAAATGGGGCGGGGGAGGGCTTCCAACTCGGTCTCTGAGTCTCCTCCACCACCTTCAGAATCCACTCTCTGAAATCGGCGTTTTGTTCTAGCCAGCCACGTGTTTGTCGGATTTTTTGTTTTTGTGACATTTTTCTTCCCATGAAGCAACAGGAATTTAATATTACGAGCTATTAGTTGCTTAGTCGGGAAAAAAAATGTTTTCTGTCCACGAAGGTGAGAGACAGCTGCGTCTCTGTCCCCACACGCCCTCCCCAACGTCCCCCAGCCCCCACTTACTTGGTGTTTTGTCAGCTCTTGATCACAACGGAATTTTTAACAAACTAAACCAATGAGCTGGAAACAGTGCCTGCCACATAGTAGGCACTCACAGTAAACATTTTTGAATGAAAGGAAAAAAATGCAGAGTAAAAAGAACTAGAGAAAATTAAAAGTCCAGCGGGGAGGGATTCTCTTGGCTAGAATGTGGGGATCTGTTGCCTGGGGACTTTTCTTAGTGATGTGTGTGGATTTTTGAAAAGGGCTAAAAGATGGTCCCAGAAGCTGTCTGTAGTAGTCTTTGGGTCTTCATAAATAGTAACTCTGTCTCCAAACCTTTTGTTATATTTATTGGGGGACAAGGGAGAAGGTACCTAGGCAGGACACCCCAGCTCCCAAAAACTTTAGGAAACTATTTGTTTCATTTACTTTAAATCTTTAGGGGTTGATTAAAAAAAAAAAAAAAAAAAACCTTCTCAGATAATCTCCCTGGGTAATCAAACCACTGCTCCCTTTCTTCCTAAAACAAAAGCAACTTAACCCTCAAAAAAACAAAAAACTCTACCCGGACTTCTAATCTCCTACAAAATGCAACCCATCGTTTGCTATCCTAGAGTTCAAGAAAAACCAAACTAATATAAGTAGTAATTTAATTCAGTTCACTTTTAGGTTGACTTTTTTTTTTTAATGTAAGAAATAATTTAATTTTTTCTCTTTAAATGACAGTAGAAGAAAAAATAGAAATTCCAGAATAGGCTACTTCTACAGTCTATTTTTCAAATCTCTTAAAAAATTATTTCATTAACAAAGTACCAATTATTTCTATTCACAGATTCTTTTTCAAAGTTAGCTGTTTCACTAAATTCTAATCCTCTCTCCTCCCTGCCCCTTCCCCCCACAAGACAGGGCTTCTGTGTTTACAATCAGAGGCTGCAAGAGTTTTTAAAGAGCCCAGAGTAGTGGCAGCTGGGGGTAAGATGCAATCTCCAGCCCTGACAGGAGCTTTGCCTCAGTGACCTGGCTGTTTCAGGTTGAGATTGGGGGAACTACATGGTGTTGACTAACCATTTAGACCTCCTCTGTGAATGTGCCCAGCACTAAAATGAACCTGCCCAAGGGTTGTGTCTTGCTAGGACTCACATTCCTAGGTGGGGGTAAGGGGAACAGAAGACATTTCAGCTCCCTTGACTAGAGTTTTGCTTTAGTTTTGACATTAAAAACAAACACTGTGTTGTTTTTCCTATTTTTAAGAAAAGATGAATCTTCACGGAAGTTTCTGTATGAGTTAAAAATATTCTGAAGGAGAAATCTCTTTAACAACTGCATTTATTATGTAATAATATTCACAATTACAGTTATTACACTCCTTGCTTTTTGTCTCCCTTTCCTCCTCCTTCTACTTCACTTCTTTCCTAAAGAAGTGTTCGGTCCGCTCCCCTCTGACTACAAAATCCTGAAACTGGATTCCATTTCAAAGATGGAATTCTGTCCATTTTCCTTCAAAATGAACATGCAGAGAGAAAAAATGTAAAAGAATTAAGCCACTTTTTACAAAGTGGAAAAGTGGAAAAGCAAAATTCAACTCATTTTCAAGTGTTTCTTGGCAACATTTTTCAGTTTGTACTAGCTTTCTGTTTTATCTTTTTCTGTCTTTGTTTTTCACTGCTGTAGCATGGTCCTTGTTACACTGCCTCAAAGTTTTAATAACTAACTATTTTATCCAGGATAATAGGGACAAGTAATGTATTGTTAGAAAAAATACGTTGCAGTATTTTTAAACTTTTGTAAGTAGTGTAGGAGGAAAAAGTAGTGCAGAAGATATATTTTTGTAGAATTCTTTTTTTTTTTATTAACTCCTTTGTATTTTGTATTAACTTTTTTTTTTTATTAACTCCTTTGGATAAGTCCCCAATATCCATATTGCAATTTAAATCTAACATTTACCTGTGATTTCTATCTTAAAAAATTTGATATGTTCTATAAAAGAGAGGACACACACACACCAAAAAGAAAAAAGAAAAAGAAAGAAAGAAAAAAGAGAAAAGGAAAGAAAAAACCTAGAAAGCATTAGGGAAATATATTAAAATAGAGTTCCTTATTTTGATATAATTATGGTTGCTATGCAAAATAAGTGAAACCTCTCCTGAGGACTCTGACTTTTAAGTTTCTGGAAGTTTTGCAGTTCTTTGGGTCTGGGTTTTATTTTGTTTATTTTGTTGTTATTTGCTTGTTTTATTGTTGTTACTGCCTTGGGATGTTTTCTTTCTTCCTGCAGTTGGAAGTGTGGTTCTTTTTAAATGCCTATAAAGTTTGAGAAAGTGTAAATTAGTCCCAGTTTTTAAAAGGACAGGCAGCATTTTCTCCTGTCAAATAAGTAAGGATAATTATGTGTTTAGGCTATCTCATGAAATAGAAGAGAACCATAAGCAGAAAAGACATTTTCCTCATTCAAATCATCATCCACTTAAAAGGGTTTCAAACCCTTAAAGGAGTGTGCTTTTAGTTCTGGAGCTAGGAGGGCTCAAGGGGGAGAAGAAGAACTTTAAGAACAATTATTTGTTTTACTGAGTCAGTGTGTGTGAAAAAAAAAACCCTCAGAATTAGTGTGGAAACCTTAAAGCAAGGAAGTAAATAATTAATTCTAGTAAATACTTCTTTTTTTAAATACATGTTTCCAAATTCCTTTGCTAATAAAACTCCTCTGCTCTGCCTGTTTGGTAGGGTACAGCGTCTAAAACAGTCTTC